TCCCTGTCTTCTGTACCGTGTCCCACCCCTGTCCCTGTCTTCTGTACTGCGGTCCCACCCCGTCCCTGTCTTCTGTACCGTGTCCCACCCCGTCCCTGTCTTCTGTACCGTGTCCCACCCCTGTCCCTGTCTTCTGTACCGTGTCCTACCCCTGTCCCTGTCTTCTGTACCCATCTCCCTGTCCCTGTTTCTGTACCTGTGTCCCACCTGTCCCTGTCTGTACCGTGTCCCACCCTGGTCTTCCATGTCCCATCTGTCCCTGTCTTCTGTACCGTGTCCCACCCCGTCCCTGTCTTCTAGTGTCCCTAACCCCTGTCTTCTGTACCGTGTCCCACCCGTCCCTGTTTGCTGTGTGTCCCACCCCAGGTGTCCCACCCCGTCCCTGTCTTCTGTACCGTGTCCTACCCCGTCCCTGTCTTCTGTACCGGTCCCACCCTGTCCCTGTCTTCTGTACCGTGTCCCACTCCCCGTCCCTGTCTTCTGTACCGTGTCCCACCCCGTCCCTGTCTTCTGTACCGTGTCCCTACCCCGTCCCTGTCTGCTGTACCGTGTCCCACCCCGTCCCTGTCTTCACCGTGTCCTACCCCGTCCCTGTCTTCTGTACCGTGTCCTACCCCGTCCCTGTCTTCTGTACCGTCCCACTACCCTGTCCCTGTCTTCTACCCACCCTGTCCCTGTCTTTACAATGTCCTACCCCGTCCCTGTCTTCTGTACCGGTCATACCCGTCCTGTCTTCTGTACCGTGTCCTACCCCGTCCCTGTCTTCTGTACGTGTCCCACCCCGTCCCTGTCTTCTGTCAGTCCACCCGTCCCTGTCTTCTGTACCATGTCCCACCCCCGTCCCTGTCTTCTGTACCGTGTCCTCACCCTCGTCCTTGTCTTCTGTACTGTCCCACCGTCCCTGTCTTCTGTACCGTGTCCTACCCCGTCCCTGTCTTCTGTACCGTGTCCCACCCGTCCCTGTCTTCGTACCGTGTCCCACCCCTCTCCCTGTCTTCTGTACTGTCCACCCCTGTCCCTGTCTTCGTACCGTGTCCCACCCTGTCCCTGTCTGCTGTACCGTGTCCTACCCCGTCCCTGTCTTCTGTACCATGTCCCACCCCGTCCCTGTCTTCTGTACCGTGTCCCACCCGTCCCTGTCTTCTGTACCGTGTCCCACCCCGTCCCTGTCTTCTGTACCGTGTCCCACCCCGTCCCTGTTTGCTGTACCGTGTCCCACCCCTGTTCCTGTCTTTTGTACCGTGTCCTACCTGTCCCTGTCTTCTGTACCGTGTCCCACCCTGTCCTCTTCTGTGTGTCCACCTGTCCCTGTCTTCTGTACCGTGTCCCACCCGTCCCTGCCTTATGTAACGTGTCCTATCCTGTCCCTGTCTTCTGTATCGTGTCCCACCCCGTCCCTGTCTTCTGTACCGTGTCCCACCCGTCCTGTCTTCTGTACCGTGTCCCACCCGTCCCTGCCTTATGTACCGTGTCCCATCCCGTCCCTGTCTTCTGTACCGTGTCCCATTCCCCGTCCCTGTCTTCTGTACCGTGTCCCACCCTGTCCCTGTCTTCTGTACCGTGTTCCCATCCCTGTCCCTGTCTTCTGTACCGTGTCCCCTCCGTCCCTGTCTTCTGTACCGTGTTCCACCCCGTCCCTGTCTTCTGTACCGTGTTCCCACCCTGTCCCTGTCTTCTGTACCGTGTCTCATCTGCCCCGTCTCTGTACCGTCTTCGTCCCTGTCTTCTGTACCCACCCCTGTCCCTGTCTTCTGTACCGTGTCCCACCCTGTCCTGTCTTCTGTACCGTGTCCTACCCCGTCCCTGTCTTCTGTACCGTGTCCCACCCTGTCCCTGTCTTCTGTACCGTGTCCCACCCTGTCCCTGTCTTCTGTACCGTGTCCCACCTTCCCTGTGTTCCGTATTGGTCGCCTTCACCTGCCTTCCATCACACCTTACCTCTGTACCTACCATGTACTGTCATCTTCCTTATCACTACTTTTCACTGTATATATAACCTTTCCTCTCCTTCTCTTCTGCTCTCTTTCTGTGTTAAGTACATTGTCTTCCTCTTTAACGAGTCATCTTTATTGTCTTCCTCTTTGTAAGTGCCACCTTTAGTGTTTTCCTCTTCATATGTTCCATCTTTATTGATTTCCTTCAGGTTCTCTTTTCTTTGTCACTTTCAGTCTTTAGCTCGATGTTTTCCCACACTTTGCGTCCTATTTCACCCATGTTCTGTCCCAGGTCATCCTTATCTGCCATTTCATTCTCTTTTCTCTACTGTCCTTCTTGTGTTCCTCCAACATATTTATCTCTTTCCTGTATGTCTTCTTTATTCTTCTCTTTGTTATCATTCATTACTTTCATATCCCTCCTTGTTCTCTTTGTGTGGTTATTTCCTATGTCCTGTTTATGTGTAAGTTTCCGTTTACGTTTTAGAATAAATATTTTTCTGTTTCCTTCCTCGTGCCTCTCTCTCTATTACGAGCCTCTTGGCGTCATCATTGTGCCCTCCTGCGGCGCTCTTTATTATCACGTGTTTTCGGTCATTCATGTTCTTATCCATTCCTCCGTTCAATTATTGTTCCCTTTAGCTGTTCCCCTGTTTTATTTCTTCTCCTGTTAGACGTTCCTTCCTGTTCATTCCTTCTCCACCGTAATGATAAACGTAATGGCAATAATTAACGTACAACAGGTAGATGAATTCATTGAGTGTGTGTGTGTGTGTGTGTGTGTGTGTGTGTGTGTGTGTGTTTAAGGGTAGCTAACAGGCAACGAAAAGATTATACCTAAGAAAGATATATGGACACTGGTAAAGACAATTATCATCCTCAGTATAATATAACTGTTGTCCCAGTATGTAAACAAGAGGAAGTGTATCGTACTATTACTTGGAGCCTGAGGCCGTGGAAGGGGAGGGCTGGGAATGGTCTTATGTGAGGCCATGTGGAGGGGGAGGTTGTATGGATGGTGAAGTCGGTAGAGAGGGAGAGGAGGACTAGGGTGGTTGCAAGGCTACTGTAGAGCGGCTAGGAGCAGTTTGGAGAGAACTTGCGTCGAGGCAGCTGAAGAACTGGTGGAGTACGTGGCGTTGGTCGGAGGGCGAGGTTAAGCAGTGTTTATAAAGAAGGTTTCACGATGAGATATTATTAAAGTTCTACACACTGATTCACTGCCAAAAACAAGTGTGGAGCCACTGTGTCTGTCGCGTGGCTGTACGTAGTGTGAGGTGGAGCCCTGCTCAGCCATTGCCCATTCTGGTATTTCGGGGCTCGTCAACACCTTAATAATTATACAATCCACAAGCGAGTTTTTTGACAATAAGGAAAACAATCAGAATTAAACTATGGGTACAGATGTTATTATAGAAGGAGTGACAAGCAATAAAAGATATCTATCTATCTATCTATCTATCTATCTATCTATCTATCTATCTATCTATCTATCTATATATATATATATATATATATATATATATATATATATATATATATATATATATATATATATATATGTAGATCCACAATGTAAACGTGATAAGATAAATCTAAGGTGCTCCTGTTGTTTCTCTTTTCCCGTGTGATTTATCAAGATAGATATATATATATATATATATATATATATATATATATATATATATATATATATATATATATATATATATATATATATATATATATATATATATATATATATATATATATGCATAATAATAAATAATGTGTCACATTTTCAGTATTTCATCTCAAAAAGTGCTGGAAATAAATGCTGTTAGGTTTTATTAATAAGGAAGAACGTTACTAGAAACAAGGGTAACCGACCCGACCAGCTTTAGTGTGCAAATATTACCTAAGACAGTGTGCTACACACTGACATGTGTCACAGGTGATCCATTCTCGAGCTTACGTCGTGTGTGTCAAGGACGTCAGTGGCCCGGGCAGGTAGGTATTGTGGCTGAAGAACATGGGAGGGGAGAGGCTATGTGGAAGCTTTTATTGCATTCAGCAACGTTTATATATCTCCAGTTCTTATATTTACATAATTGTTTCATGCATATTCTAGATGGTAACAAGTCAGTTGCAGGTCACGTCTGCTTCATGAAGTTCCAACGCAGAACTTAAGAAAAATATAACAAACTTAGAAATGTGATTTTTCTCCACCAATTAAGCTTGCCTGAAGCTGAGCAGAAAAACGCTCACTTCTGGAAAACCCATGACGTACCTCAGGTTGTAAACCCATGGAGTACCCCTGGTTGTAAGCCCATGACGTACCGTAAGTTGTAAACCATGTCGTAGCTCAGGTTGTAAACCCATGAAGTACTCGAGGTTGTATACCCATGACGTACTACAGGTTGCAAACCCATGTCGTTACAACATGTTGTAAGCCTCAGGCGTACCCCAGGTTGTAAACCCATGGCGCACTCCAGGTTGTAAACCCATGACGTACTCCAGGTTGTAAACTTATGACGTACTCCAGGTTGTAAACCCATGACGCACTCCAGGTTGTAAACCCATGACGTACTCCAGGTTGTAAACTTATGACGTACTCCAGGTTGCATATCCATGTCTTACCCTAGGTTGTAAGCCCATGAAGTACTCCAGGTTGTAAACCCATGAAGTACGCCAGGTTGTAAATTCATGACGTACTCCAGGTTGTAAGCCCATGACGTACTCCAGGTTGTAAACCCATGACGTACTCCAGGTTGTAAACCCATGACGTACTCCAGGTTGTAAACCCATGACGTACTCCAGGTTGTAAACCCATGACGTACTCCAGGTTGTAAACCCATGACGTACTCCAGGTTGTAAACCCATGACGTACTCCAGGTTGTAAACCCCTTTCTTAGATTAACTGGTTCCATCACTTAAGTCACTCATGACGACCGGTTGGTTATAACATCAGATAAATTAGATCAAAAGTGAGAATAAAGTTGGTACAGTTGCCTTTACAATATATCATTTATTCCAAAACGACTTTGTTCAGAAAGTAAACAAACAATGCATAATGGCAGTATTGTACTAACCTGTGGATACAAAACAGAGTCATCATTGTGGAAAGAGATGGACAAACTTCAAATTATTCAAAGAAACATGATAAGCTGTATGCTGTACCAGGCGTAATATATGAAGTCAGAAAGAAAATAGTGAACTAATATTTGATAGAGTGAGAAATATTAACACAAACTACTGACACAAACAGTGATGGTTATGTCGAACAACAAGAACAAGACGAACAATGGTTATGTCCAACAACAAGAACAAGACGAACAATGGTTATGTCCAACAACAAGAACAAGACGAACAATGGTTATGTCCAACAACAAGAACAAGACCAACAATGGTTATGTCCAACAACAAGAACAAGACGAACAATGGTTATGTCCAACAACAAGAACAAGACCAACAATGGTTATGTCCAACAATAGGAACACAAAACAGGGGACAAAAACATAGTTGATTGTATCCTAACACCTGCTAAATGATTACCAACACAAACTGCTGACTGGCCAGAAGGTGTCAGTATATGCGGAAGAAGAACGACTCATGGCAGAAAGTACAGGGGCGTGTAAGGTCCTTCACCCAGCAATAGCTTGATGATATATATTTAAACTCAATAAAGACGCAAAATCATAAAAAAAGGCTACCGGCCATTACGAAAATTTCTGCTAAAAATCATATGAATTATTTAGGATACTCTTAAAATATTAAATTCTTAATAAATATACAGTAGTTTAACATTTTTTTTTCATTATTCACGGTACCGAAGACAATAAAAAACGAGGTTGAGTAAATTTCACGTAGATGCGAGGTGCGTGTGGTGATATTTGTCTAGCTGATGAGCATCTCTCTACTCGGACTGAAATGTCAGCCATGTATTATTCCCAGGCGGCAACCAGGTCTGATGAATGCAAGGATGATTTCAGGTTTTACATCGTTTCGAAAAACTTTCAACATTACATCTTTTCTGGCAGGTTCTTATTTTGGACTGTGGTGTAAGATTACCTTTAATTATTATTATTATTATTATTATTATTATTATTGTTATTGTTATTGTTATTGTTATTGTTATTATTATTATTATTATTATTATTATTATTATTATTATTATTATTATTATTATTATTATTGTCATTATTATTATAATTATTATTATTGCTATTAATAATAATAATAATATTATTATTATTATTATTATTATTCGTAGTAGTAGAAGTAGTATTAGTAGTAGTAGTAGTAGTAGTAGTAGTAGTATATAAAAGATATGCGCGAAAAGTGGGAAGCACTACAAACCATAAGACTGGCGGCTGCAGCGCCTAAAGCAAAGTACAAACAGCAGAAAAGGAGAGACTTGAAGATACAGACAAAGTGAGGAGATAAAAGAGAGTCAGTCAGATGGAAGGAAGTGACACATCCGAGGACGTCATCTCATAAGCTATTTATCAGCAGGTTAACGGTCCTCTCTCGGATAATAGCTAGAATTCCCCTTGACTGATAGTGTACTGTTACCCCAAAGAGAGAGTCATCCGCTACCTGTATGCCTGAAGCCTCATGTTGACTGTAGGATGTCCTCGGGAAGTCTTCAGGTTTAATCCCGCCAGCAGCACACGATAAACACCTGTAACCCCGGGCAAGAATAACTACTGTATATTGGCACGAACTTTCAAAACCTTGTGTAGGGTTTGGTACATTATCTAACACAACTCATAAATACAGGTTAAAATCTTGCCAATTTACCACACAACAATACTGCAATAATAACAATCATAACAGCGTCTGCTGTAGTATTTCCTACCTACTGACAACTTTTCCCCCGGTATAGTCGTATAGAAATGACTTGCCCACAACACAATTCACGAACTGGGACACGGGGACTCTATTACTCGGAATTCTTTTTGGCGGCATCTTTCCTGATGTGTTCGTTTTGATGCATAGAATGCAAATCCGATGTCAGAGAAAGGGTAAAAATGTGTGAGCATACGAAAATAATGTTGAAATGCCCCGGCGAGGTAGACGATCTCTGTGTAAACTTGGTTGTGCTCTGCGGGAATAAATAATTTCTGATAAAAAAGTGAACAAGTCATTGAAACCTAAGCCATCCTATTTACCAAATCGATTATATTTAATTTTGTATTCGTTTAGATAACTTACGGAAAAGGTAGTATGATTGGTTATTTTAGGCAACAGGGGAAGCGTGATTGGTTCATTTCGGTAACAGGAGAAGTATGATTGGTTCATTTAGCTAACTTAGGGGAAGTGTGATTTGTTATGTTAGATAACATAGGGGGAGCATAATTGGTTCATTTAGTTAACTTAGAGAAAGTGTGATTGGTTCGTTTAGGTAACAGGGTAAGTGTGATTGGTTCATTTAAGTAACATAGCTTCGCTTCGCTATCATGGCTGAGTGATGATGGTTAAGGCAAACTGTACCTCACTCGCGTTACACCTACATACAAGATACAATCTCTTCTCGTCACTGTCTTCCGCGTTACTTTACTTTTTATGAATCGTCTTTGTGTTTCTATTTGTGTGTACTCGTACCCATGTATGTGAGTTAAGTGGTTGTTCGGTTTGTGATAGGTGTGTGCGTGTGTGTGTGTGTGTGTTGGGAGATGGTGGTAGATAGAGGTGTGTCGTGAATAAGAGTGAGAGGAGGTCTGTCGTGGACGAAGATGGGTGGCATAGGGAGTTGGTATGTGTTAGGGAATGGGGTGATTGGTGTGTATGTGATCGGGTAGGTGGTATACGGAATAGGGTGGGTGGAAGCAGGTGCGTGTGCAGGGATGTTGGGGTGGGCGGGTGGGTGGGTGCTGTGAAGGGAGTGTGATCGCTAAGGTGAAGGTGCTGAGGCACAGATGTAGGGGACAAGTGTTTTGAGATGGAGAAAGTAACTTGACCTAAGAGTGTAGATGGGTAACTAACCTGGGTGTATGGGTTAACACAGATTCACTTATTACACTGGGGAACACACTTTCGGTTGCATGAGTTCTGACACTTGATTCTGGTAGATTTGAGGTCACAGATTCTGAAAATGGCATTCGTTTGTGCAGATCAGGTCTAGTTTTGACTTAGTTCGAGATCTGGGTCTGTCTAAAAAGCTGTCAGAATTGTTGGCTTCACGGTTAAAAGATAAAAACTTGCTGAAAATAGACACAAAGGTAACATTCTTTCGCAACAGAGAAAAGAACCTCTTACAGTTCTTTGATTCTAAATTTGACTTCGTCTACTGTTGTGATATTTCTGGATTAGTCACCGCGATGGGAGCTCCAGGTTATGATCCGAAAGAGTGGCGCCTCTTTATAGATAGCTCTAAGCGGAGTCTGAAGTGTGTTTTATTACATATAGGCAACATCTTTGGCGCAATACCCATAGGACACTCAGTACACCTGAAAGAAAAATATGAACACATCAAAACGGTTTTGGAGCAACTCAAATATGAAGAACACAAATGGATCATCTGTGTTGATCTAAAAATGGTCAATTTTTTGCTAGGACAGCAAGGTGGGTATACAAAATTTCCTTGCTTTATCTGCCTCTGGGACAGCAGAGCCAAAGACAGACACTGGATTCAGAAGGAATGGCCAGTTAGGGAAAGCCTCAATGATGGGGAAAAGAACATCATTTATGAACCCCTAGTGGAACGTGAAAAAATTGTTTTCCCGCCCCTTCACATCAAGCTGGGCCTTATGAAACAGTTTGTCAAGGCGCTCGATACTGACAGTGACTGTTTTAAGTATCTGTGTGAAGTGTTCCCTGGTTTAACGCTAGAAAAACTCAAAGCAGGTATTTTCGACGGCCCTCAAATTAGGACGCTGATTAAAGACCAAGCCTTCACTCAATCCATGACTGATGTTGAGAGAAATGCATGGGGGAGCATTCGTTTCTGTTGTAAGGAACTTTCTTGGAAACAGGAAATCAGAGGACTATAAAAAGCTCGTTGAATCTTTGATGGAAAGTTTCCATGTGTTAGGTTGCAACATGAGCATTAAGATGCATTTCCTGAACAGTCATCTTGAACTGTTTCCGGCAAACTTGGGGGACGTGAGTGATGAGCAAGGTGAACGCTGTCACCAGGATATCAAAGTCATGGAAGACAGGTATCAAGGTCGCTGGGACATTCACATGATGGCGGACTATTGCTGGAGCATTCAGCGAGACTGCACTGAGAGGCGATATTCAAGACAGTCCATTAAACGCAAGTTTGTGCCTGAATAAATCTGGCATAGTTCACAAAAGCAACTGATGAATCCAAAATATGCTTGTCAAGGTAAATAAAAGTAATTAAAATTAATTCTACGTGTTTGGTAATTCCTCTCTGTGTGCTGGTTTAGATTTTTAGCAGTAGTATATGGTAGTCTAACTATATATAGTAGTAAATGGTAGGTAACTCACCGCAACAAAACTAGACCCGATAGAAAAAACCGGTGCCATATTTGAAATCAGTGACCTCAATTTACCCAGAAACAGGTTTCAAAATGTATGCAACTGACAAAAAGTTGAATTTTGTCTACAGTGTTATCATTCATTTCCTCTGAAAAATGAATCAACGTGATGCTGGATTTAAGTGAGAATAACAAAGCAGCATTCACTAAGTAACAAGTCTTATACTACATACATACAAGAGTGAGTCATCGCCCGAACCTATTCCAAAATATACTAGTGAGTGAAAACTTACATGTAAGTCAAGTCATGAAATGTCTCGACAATTTTACAAATTGTTCAGTCCACACACACACACACACACACGCACACACGCACGCACACGCACACACACACACACACACATACACACACACACACCGCACACACACACACACACACACACACACACACACACACGCACGCACACACACACACACACACACACACACACACACACACACACACACACACACACACACACACACACACACACACACACACACACACACACACACACACACACACACACACACACACTCAAAATAAGATAGATAATTAACAACAAACTATATACAAAAGTGAGATTTTCTTGGGCAATTAAATGGAAATATAAAGAAAAATAATACCAATTCCTTAGCATGAATTATACATGGTGATGGTGCTCTTAGCGGCCAGGGTTAATGATCGAATTAAAAAGAAGAACAACAGTGCTCGAGTTGGTGGGTACTGGGCGGCGGTGTGGAGCTGTCACCACTAGACCAGTGGAGTGGCTGTTCTGACCCCACCACTGCCTCCTCGTACTCAAACCCTGGTGCCTATTCGTGGACTTTTTCACATTACTAAAACTAAATCTAGTATCTTACGTCTAACAATCAAGTGATATTGAGAAAAAGCTTTGATTAAAATGTACATAAGAGCAAGATATACTTTGTTATACATTAGCATATATTTTCCCATTCCTGATAGAGATTCAAGAATTAATTTATACAGTGAGAAATGACTACAGCGACACCTCTAGTACTAACGTATGACCGGGGGTAAAGTGAACTTATAACAACACATGTACAGCCCCTGTATACTAAACCATATACAGTATATACCTGCCATCGGGAGCCAGGCGCCGCCAACACCTGTTACATTAACCGCTGTGTGTGCTATTCTAACTTACTTCACTGTGAGTATTTGTTCTCTTGAACTAACATGGAAGGAGAAGAAAACTAGTTAATTCGTTTATATTAACATATAAAATTACAGTGGATATTTTACATAATGACGTTACTGCGTGGGACACAAAGACCACGTTCTCTATTCATCCAAATGGGTTAAAATGAACTCAAATAAACTTAAATGGACTACGCAATCTAACCTAACCATGCTTGCTCATTCAGGTGTCCATTGGAATAATATTGCTTCATATGGGTTGGCTGTACTCATTTAGGGTTTCTCTTGGTCCTTTGAGTTTGCATAGTATACAGTCGGCCAAATAAATTCGCAGAAACCAAACAAGTATAGGGTAAGGCAACGGATCTGGTAATAATTTTTTTTTTTTATTGGGCACCCCATCCTTGTGCAAGGTGAAGCGCAAGCGTTTGCCCAACAGGGCAGCATGCCAAGTTCATGCTTGCTTATGTCTCGCGAGCTAAGGGCGTAAAGCCTGAAGAGTCAATGGTTTATGTTCTAAGCAAGTTATTGGAAGTTCGGACAACTTGTCCCTGAATACGAAATCGCAACTTTCGATTTACAGCAGGTACCTACTTTGCTGCTGGGTGAACAGGGACCAAGGGACTAGGAATAGTGTCCAAACAACTTCCGCTGGCCCGGAATCGAACCCGTGACATCTTTTCGCGAGGCAAGAACAGTACTGCTCTACCACCAGCTCCCTGGGTCTGGTAATAATGTAAAGTTAGGGGAGACGGGGTGGTAGGTGGGGTAAGGGAGGCCTCGTTTGAGGAGCGAGTTTTCACACTATTACCAGATCTTTAGCCCTACCCTGTATTTGTTGGGTCTGTGAGACTTATTTGACCGACTATACCATATGAGACTACGTAGGTGTAATCTGAACATTTGTGTCTCTTTAAGTGTCTTAGTGGGTGTCCAGTTGAACCATTTTGTGTTTTAATTGGGTCGTATTTTGGATCAAGTTCAGTTTAACATCTTAGCATTGCTAGGCATGGTTTGGTTAATTGGTTGATCCCTGTGTCCTGCTTCGTAAGTGATTTTCAAACTATTTTTCTTGTTCCTCCATCAGATACTGAACTTTATACCTTAAAATAAATATACTAATGTAGACCCAAAATAGCAACAAGATTGAGAAGCTAAACTGAACGTTGACTAAATTTGTCCATATTGTCCTTAGAAGCATCACAGCTCTGTAAACATACGCCCCTTGAAGGAGACTGTGAAACTAAGTCATTATGGACAACACACAAAACGAATTAACTGAACTAAACTTAGCGATCATAGATTATTTTGGTAGATGTGAAATAAGGTGAACACTTACCAGCGACTTTAGGTATAGGTCGGGCTAGTGGTTTAGGTATGGATAATAGTATAGGTCGGGCTAGTGGTTTAGGTATGGATAATAGTATAGGTCTGGCTAGTGGTTTAGGTATGGATAAT